ACTGCTTCTTAAAATTACTTCTAATAATACACATATCATATGTATTTAGGGGTTTGAGTGTATCCATGTTTTTTGCATTAAATGTCATTTTAAATCCATTGTCTTTGACGATTTTCCTCTCATCGACGATTACTGTCCAGTAACTTCCAATTAATTACTATTTTTTTCAAATATGGTTATGACTAATTTTTTTTGTGCATTTCTTCGGATTCTATCACGGGACACTCTCTTAAATATATTTGGATTGTCAGGCGTCAATGCACTGAATATTCATCAGATTTAAATATTTTATGTCCAAACACATGTAGTGAATCCTACCATTTTAATAACTTTCAGTAACACCCTTTTGAATAACTAGAATCTTAGAATAATTGAGTTCACTTATCCTATATGATGTATTATTATCAAAATTGTAAGTATTTTATGGGTTTTTATATGTACTTGCAATTTACGTTGCTGCCACGAGTCTAAAGATAATACACTTGGGATGAATCTCCATTATCCCCAAATAAATTACTAGTGTTTTTTCTTTTATTTTTTTTTCTTTTTATTATTATTTTTTAGTTTATTTGCCAAGGTAGTAAATTAAAAGGACAAATGACACTTTGTTCCTTAAAAAAAACATGTTTTAATTTACTTTGTTCCTTCATAGATTAGAAATGTCACTAGTATTCTTCGTTTATATACTTGTTATATATTATTTACACACAAAGTTTATATCAATAAAATTTGTTTATCCATCAAAAAAAAAACAAAAAATAAATTGAATATAGTATTCTTTTTTTACACAAACCAACTAAAATTCGACACAAATCCGTCTCTCTCAACACGATTGACAAACATACTAATAGATTTACCGCAAAAGGAAAGTTTCATGAGGACACAGAGATTGGTTAAGTATGAATTCTGGTATTTTAGAGATTTCAAGTTTAACACTTTCTATATCTTTTTAGACTGATCACCTTTATTTTTCAGAAAACATTTTAAACTCATTCGAATTACGATAATTAATATTTAAACACGAGAAAATAGTCGGAACAAATCTGAACACTCTGTAAAACAAAAAAAAAAAAGGTAATATATGGTCACTGTCGGAGGAGGAAGCACGTGAAGCACGTGATTCTCTTTTTTTGACCAAATATGGAAGTGGAAACACCTTCCATACAGTAACAATGTTCGTGAACCTACCTACCCAAAAAAAATCAATGCCTGTGGACCATTCCTTTTTTTGTTGGTATCAAACAGGTCAGAGCAAGACAACTAAAGCATAGCCACCATCCATACAGTAGAGAAAACAATGTGGGGCTCACGAGGTACCACGTGGTAACATTAATAAAATATTATATATTCACAATAAATCGACGTTTGGCCAATATTAGGTCGGTCAATAGATCCGATTTTAATTCAAATTCAATCAATCTAATATAATTTAATATTTTTGACCGATTAATAGAACTGAAATTTGTGTTAATTTCAACCTAGTATGCGGATCTAGGTTTTAATAAACAAAAATATTTATGTGATTATGATCGGATTCAAATTGCGTATTTATTTATAATTTAAAAATGAGTTAAAATCATAAGTAATTAGCTAAAATTCAAGTTAATTAAATTATACAAACTCAGATTTTAATTTTTATTTGATTCATATACATACTTCAACAATAAAAGTGTCTGATATTCAAATCGTACTCAGGCTAAACCAAGAGAAAGTTATACTTTGATCCCCTTAATTATGCACTTTTTTTCATTTTTTTCCTCTCAATTATCATATTTTTTACATTTCACCCTCAAGTATTTGATTAGTTTCACATTACTCCAATTATTAATTGTTGTTATATATTTAACAAAAAATTATTTCATTTTGTTTATTGAACTGACGTTTGCAATTGGAACAATGTGAAATAATCAAAGTAGTTTATGAGACAACGTAAAAAAATTAATAGTTCAAGTAGCAAAGTGAAATTGAGTCCATAGATCAAGAGATTAAAGTATAATTTATCTTTAAATCAAATTTAAATCAGTCAAAATTTGTTTATAATTCGATCCATTGGCAGGCAAGCTTACTAATATATCAAAATAGCTTCAAATGAGAAGACCTTGAGAATAATTACATTAAGGTCTGAAATTTAATAACTCGAATGGGAAGACTTCGAGGATATTCATATTAAGATCTCAAATTCGAGTCATGCAATCTAATTTACCAAACCTATGATACTTCTACATAATCATACATACCTGCGAATAAAAAAATTGTGGTTGGAACAATGGTGGCCTATTATGAGAAATTGGTTCAGGTGGTCCTGCCATGGATAGTGCCATTTGTAGCATAGCGAATGTTGTCCAACATAGACAGATGAGGAAGAGACCTGTCGGTAAGTCGAATATGAATTAATATTTTTTTATTAATAAATTAAATCCGAAGACCGAGACTATATGGTATTAAAAATTATAATCTTTTATAATAGAATTAAATTTTTTTGGAATATAAGCTACCAATAAAAATGACATGATTTACACCAAAATATTATAATTATTAAAAAAATTCATAAAAATAAAATTAATGTACCGCAATTATTTCTTGGTTACCTGGTCAAATAAAAGAATTAATGAGCACCAATTATTGACAACCTTTTTGTTAGGTACGGAAGGAGAAATTACCAAATTGACTTAAATGCAGCTTTGTATTCTTGTGCATGCTCTGCCAAAGCTTGATTTTGGTGACCGACTGTCTGAGGTGACGTTTTAAACATGTGACTTTTTGCTGGTCAATTTTGGGATAAACAATGATAATGTTTCTCAACCTAGTCACTACTTATTAAGGTAAAAAGCTCTAAGCTCAACCAAAGTCTTCTAACTTACATCCTTGTATACGAGAATTTGGAATTTGGGAGAAGATTTATGGTACTCTGAATTTTTTTTTAAAGAATTTTATAATTTTTGGTATAATTTTTTGGGGGATTTTTATAATAAAAAAAATTATAAATTTTCGGGTTATGTAACAAATTTTAAGGTTTGAGTTATAATTTTTTGAATTAAACCCTAAAAAGATTACAGTATGTTAGAATCGATGCTAACATTTTTAAGATTGATTACAAGTTATTACAAAAATTATAAATAATTTTTTAAAATTGTAAAAAAGATTACAAAATTATCATGGTGGTATGAACATACGGTACTAATTTTTTTTGTACGATGGACTTCCTAGAATTTGGCCTACTTTGATGTTAAATTTTTTGTAATTTTATTGATGCTTAATCATTTTCAAAAATATAATATGATTCTCAACATGGTAAATGATATAGTAGTTGACCTTAATCTTAATGATAGTTTTAGTGATAATAGAGATGAGTTGTAAATTCAGACATTATGAGTTTAAATCTTGACAATTCTTTTGGTTTAGGACACGAGTGATTTATCGCTCATAAATATCCTAATTCTAGTATAGATAATTTATTTTTAACCAAACTGGAGAAAAAATTAGTCGAGGTGTACATAAATTAACTCATATACCGCTGATCGTTGGACCCAAAAAAAAAAAAATGATATGGTAGCTGACCACTTCAAGTCATTAAGTTAATAAATTAGCAACTTGTATCTGATATGGGAATATAATTAAATACTCTTAAGTTATTATTAATTTAATAATGACTCATTAACTCTCTTAATTAAATCTCAATAGCATTGTAGTTAGTGAATTAGGTGTATTTTTTTACAAATTCTTACAATGTAATTAGAATATAGGTATTACAATGCATCACCATTACAATGAATAACCAAAGTGAGAGAGCCTCACAATGAGTGAACCATAATAAACCCCAATTTAAGAAAAAGTGAGAGATTAATGTTCAAGAATTTACCCCCCCCCCCAACTTATCGGAGAGAGTTAGATGTAAACAACTATAAAAACAAATGAGTAAATAATGGATCACTAGTTATAAACGGGTTTCGAAAAAAAAAATATTAATTTATATAATATTATTTGAACATAATTTATTGACTAAACCTATACGACTATACTATTGTTAGAGTGACGGTGAACCATATCAAATATTCATAGGCCAAAGTGTATCATCATATTTAACTGTAGCATCATATCATCATAGTCAAGTGTATCATCATATTCAAGTGAAAATGCACAATCTTGTGCAACCTAACAATAGTTGGACCTGTGTCATCATTTCTTATTCATTAGTGATAAATACTTGACTAATTTATTTGAATTTAATTTATTAATTTAAAATCTCAGTTTTTATTAAAATTTATTATTGATTTAATAATTATTATAAATTAAATTAATAAATTGAATCAAAATTATTCTATTTGGAGTTATATTTAGATGCGTTAAAATATGACACGATACAAAATTAAATGAGTTATTTTTAAATCACTTATTTTATAAATGAATAAATTTGATTCGATACGATTAATAAATAAATTATATATATATATATATATATTAATTATATATAATTCATATGCCACACAATCTAAACTCAATCTGAACTTGGTTGGGCCAAAACGATTGACCGGCCTGGTATATCTAAGAAGTAACCATACACAGTTTCCACGTAGCATCTGCTCTTGTGGTTACATCGGTTGACGCGTCTGTTACTTCCATCTCTCTCTCTCTCTCTCTTTTTCTCTCACACACACTGACACAAACACACAGTTTCTTCTTTTCTCTTCCTCTCCACTTGTCTTCCATCCGCAACAAACCAACTCTCTCTCTCTCTCTCTCTCTCTCTCTCTCTCTCTCTCTCTCTCTCATGCAATGCAAACCTCATAATCAGCCGTTATATATGTTGATTTTACCACCATGACTCATCATCTCCCTCTCTCTACCCCCCTTGCAATGCAACTCATCTAACCTTCTCTCTCACACCCCCGCTTTCATATCTTCCGTTACTCTCTCTCTCTCTAGATTTCACTACTGTTTTCCTCATTCACTGGACATGAATTCACTGAACCAGTGATCCTCTCTCTCTCTCTCTCTTTTTCAGTCTCATTATCCTCTTAGTGTGATTCTCCAAGTTTCTGACAATTGAAGCTTGGATCAATGCTCTATAGAGATTAGAGACTACTCAACAACCAATCTCTGAAACTAACCAACCACGCACACAACTCACAGACACAGAAATGTTCGATCTCAATGTTGATGTCGTCTCTGTTGATTCAACCGGAACGAAGATCACAGCTGAGAATCTTCCAGAAGAAGCCAAAGCTCAAGCCGATGATTCTGGAACTTCGATTTCCTCCATTGTCAACACCGACGAAGACTCGAGCTCCACTCCCAACAAGCCGTCCAACTCTGTCTCTACTCTCAATTTCGATGTACTAACCAAAAACAAAGGGAATCATGTTACCGAAATGAAAGACGTGAGCAATGGGAATGTGGCTTCGGAGTTTGTTACGAGGCAGCTTTTTCCAGTGGCCGGAGAGTTTGGTTCGGGATCTTCTTCGCCGACGTCGTTGTTGGAGCCTCAGTGGTTGAATCTGTCGGTTTTAGAGTCTAATAATGGGTCGGAGTTGGGGATTTTGCAGCAGCAGAAGCAGCAGGTGAAGAAGAGTCGACGGGGACCCAGGTCTCGGAGCTCAGAGTATCGTGGTGTCACGTTTTATAGGAGGACCGGTCGATGGGAATCGCATATCTGGTATGGACTGTCGAGGGTAGTGTGTGTTCTTTGTGTGGGGTAAATTTGTGAATTAGCCTATATCTGTTTGTATTCCTCTGTGTGTTTGAGGGGGAGAGAGAGAGAGAGAGGATGAGAGAGAAAGAGCAAGTAGAACTCATTAACACGATGATACATCTATAGAACGGTGTGTGTGAATGTGAATTAGCTCATGTTAGTTTTGTCCTTTTGTTACGTAGTGATAACTGAATTTTGTGCTTGCATAACAGGGACTGTGGGAAACAAGTTTATTTGGGTGAGTAATTGCTCAATTTGATTTCCTCTACGGCAAAGTTTAATTTCATTGGAGAGATTTTATGTTTGAAAATATATCTACATTCTCTAATTAGGGTCATTTGTGTGTTGGATTATACCAGGTGGATTTGATACTGATCAGGATGCAGCTAGGTAGGAGGTTTTTTTTTTTTTTTTTTTTTGAGTGAGAAAATTTTGTTCATGCTCTAATTTCATTTGGTTGGGACTTTTACTATATTTAATTTGGTTATCATGATTCATGATTTAGAGCATTCGATCGGGCTGCGATTAAGTTTCGGGGTGTTGAGGCCGATATCAACTTCAACATAAGCGATTATGAACAAGATATGAAGCAGGTGGATAGTGCAGCATGCCAGCAACTGCTAGTTTTTATGTTATATGATTTTTGTTGTGTATGTATTTTAATTCAATTGATCTGCAGATGGGAGATTTGACAAAAGAAGAATTTGTTCTTATACTTCGTCGCCGGAGCACTGGATTCTCCCGTGGAAGCTCAAAATACAGAGGAGTAACACTGCACAAATGTGGTCGATGGGAGGCTCGAATGGGTCAATGCCTTGGGAAGAAGTAAGAAACCCTTACTGATCCACAATTCTTAGAGGATATTACTTTATGAGCTCGATCACGAGTACCAAATTTGGTACACTAGTGTCATGAATTCTAATATGGTTTTCGATAACTTTTCTTCAATGGTTATTTCAAAGAAAAAAATGGTTAGGACCCCCTTTTATCAATAAGATCAATGCTTGGTTGCAGGTACCTATATCTTGGGTTATTTGACAGCGAAGCAGAAGCTGCAAGGTCCTTGTGATCCCAATTCTAATCCTTGAGGCTGAACGTCTCAATCTGAAATCTCAATCTTTTGTTTGATTTTATCCAACAAAATCTCCATTTATATTTTCTGGTCCAGGGCTTATGACAAAGCTGCAATCAAATGTAATGGAAGGGAAGCAGTCACCAACTTTGAGCCTAGTACCTATGGAGGGGAGATAAGTCTGAATGGCAATGGTGGAGGTACAAGTCGATTACCCTGTCTGTGTTATTTCATTTATGAAGTGATTCTTTATAGACAGAACCTTAAAGTTCTGTATTAATTTCTGTGCACGAATGCCTGCAGGTAGCAATTGCCATCTTGATCTGAACCTCTGGATTTCTCCCCCTTCGGATGGTCCAAAGGGGAATGACAATGTCAGGAATTTGGACTGTCACTGTGCAGTTTGTGAATTGCCTGGTGGAAAAAGACCCAAGGTATTCTTCAATCAAGGTGATAAAAAATTTATCTTGATCCCATCAGCTCTATTTCTCTAATGCCATTTTTGGGTTGAGATTTTCACCACCATGTTCTTGTTCTGGGCAATATAATTTCTATACAACTTGCTGTTTAAATACTTTTGTCCACTTTAGCAATAATATGTGTTCCCATTCCATTTTAGAAGTTTTGGGAAAGAGTTGTGTTTGTCTTTATTTATAGATATTTTTGAATGCATACAGCCACTACCAAGCCTCTGTTTCCCGGGTCAATAGTTTTGTAGTTATTTAAAAGCTGTGAACAATGGTTCAATGGCCTTTTCTGTGATTTAACAGGTTCTGAGTTCTACTTCTGCTTCTACATGGGGACAAACTCCTCATGGTCTGGTATCAAAGCACTCCCGCTCAAGGCCTGCCATGAATTCTGGTTTCTCACCAAACTACGAGGTGATTATTTTCCAATAATTGTTAGTACCATTCAATGCATTCCTGAATTACATCTACCATGCCAGTTGTTAGTTAAATTTCATTTTTCAAGCTCAATTTTTCTTTCCTTTTTTTCTTAAATGGACTAATATCATTTTCCTTGCAAGCTGATGTGGTACACTCGCACATGGCTTAGATTAGGAATTACTTTATAGTGAGTTGCCAAATGCCTCAAATACTAGCTGAACGCCTCTCATTATTTTGTCCCCTTTAAGAACCTATTAGTATTAGTTATTATACCATGCTCAGCATAGAGATTTGCACAGAATGAGGGCCTGTGTCGTTTGTCATTGTCCCAAAAGTAATTCATTTTTCATAATATCCATATTGTAATCAATGGCCCCTTTTTTTGTTGTTGCCCCAGAAGTAATATGTGTTCTTCATAACATCTCGACTCTATTTTATTATCTGTTTTAGGAAAACAATGTGTATAGTAAGCGATTTTATAATATATAGCCTTGTAATCCAATACTGTGGCATCATGAAACCAATGAATTACACGAGACCACGCTGGCCCCAGTGGGTTCTGCTTAGTGGTTATAGTCCCATATATTGTTTACAGTGTGGTTTGTAGGTCTCAATTTTTGTTTAGATTCCTGTCCTTTTTCTTTCTTAATTGTATGATCTCTTAAAGGCTGTGAAGCAAAACTGCTAATTAACAAGAAGAGGGGAGAGAAAACACATACATCCGGACAAGCAAAGCAGAAAAGAACAAAAAATGATTCTCAAATTTGTGAAGAATGATGACAATATATTTTGTGTTGAACAGGAAATAGTAATGGGGAAGAGGACTGAAGCCATTCCTTCACTGGGATTCTCAAACTGGCCATGGCAAATGCAAAGCCACGGCGTTCTCACTCCAGTGCCTCTGTTTTCTGCTGCAGCATCATCAGGATTCTTTCCCATTACGACTGTCTTGGCAAGTTTCCTTCAACCACCAAACGAACAAAACAAGAGTTTCCACTAACACTACATTCCGAAGCCCTCCAACAAACTTTCCTATGCTACAATCACAGGAGCTGGAACACCAGGAGTGCAGCAACTTTTCTTCATTGTGTTTGGAGGTCAGTGGGGGCAAGAAAGCCATCATTTAGAGTAGTGTATAGCAGTTCATTTCTCTTCTTATCCCTTTGGGTTTCACCCGTCTTTATAGATAAAAAGAGAAATATACTTATTGATTGTACTCATTTTTTATTGGTAGAATTAGTGAAAGGCTGTCATCTCTTTCTTGGAATCCCAGTCCTTTGAGATGTATGTCAGTTAATGCAGCCTCTTTTGTTAGATAATGGGACTCATTAGATTGTGACCATCCTATGCGGGACTTTAATGTTATCGTTTCTTCATATATGGTTGGCTTATTTGAAATTTGGCTTCTCTCGGACTATATTATTTAGCCTTTTAACGAGGGGCCTTATTATTGCTTAAGAAAAATAATTTCTTATACGTAACGTTGTTATCAGTCATGCTTAGTACTATTATGTTCTTATTTCTTCGATCTATCATGAAAATATCGACTATGGCACCTGATAGACGTATTATTCTAACTGTCAAGGTTATCACTCATTAGTTATGAGATCTTTGTGCTCCGCATTAATTGATCTTATTATTTGTAGTTTTCATCTCCTTCTAGGTATTACGAAAAATAAATAAAAACTGAGGACAGTTGAGGGAACATTTTGTGATGAATCCCATCATCTGACAAAAAGAGGCTGCATCAATTCTTGACAAAAAGAGGCTTGGGGCAGGATTCCAAGAAAAAAATATTAGCTTTTGACAAACTCTACCAATAAAAAATGAGGATAGTTCGTATGTATTTTTTTCTTTTTCTATAAATAGGGTGAAACCCAAAAGATAAGGAGACCTTGGTATGAGAACTCTTAGCTCCATACCTCACACACATATTCTTATCATTTTCTTAATTTTATACACTTGTCTATTCAGTTATTGATTACAATACTGACTTAGGCATTAGAGGGACTTTCCCGGCTCAACACTGGAGGTTCCTCTAACCTGATGTTGATTTTATAGCTTGTGAACTGGATGATATTCAAAGATTATGAGTGCACATTAACGCATTTCAATGATTGTACAAAATTTTGCTCATACACCTAAAAAAATAAAATTATATTTAATTATTTTACCTTGTAAAGGGTATTAGATGCATTTTTGTACATAAATAGTACGCTTAATCCACATATATTGTCTCTTATTATTCATGCAATTACAACTAGAAGAAGTGAGTAAATCCCAACAATGAGATAACAAAAATGCAAAACACACCCACTTAACATAGGCACTTTAGAGAAACATCAAAATACTTTCGAAAAACGTTATCTAATATTACTTGAAACTTATTTAGGTACTGAAAAAGAAAAGAGATGAGCCATTATCTACAAGGCAGAAAGATCATGGGAATCATGAGCTGAAACAAAGACCCCTCCACCAAACAGCAATGAAGAGTGTACTCCAAGTACAACAGTACAAAGAGCCATGAAAAACACTTTCTACATTAACATTTAACTGAGTTTATATAGGCTGCCGGAGTGAAGAGAATATTAGCCACATTACCTTCTCAATATTAATAAAGACTAAGGGTGGCCCGTATCTAAAGGTACAATGTACAGTAAGTGAGAAGTGATAGATTTAAAGAAGTGATAAGTGATAGATTTAAAGAGATAAAAATTCAATGTGAATAGTTTTAAGAAGGATATTGGTGATCGATGAATGAGTCTATTTGAGACCGTTAAATGAGTTTATTTTATATTATAAATTTGTCATTTCATTTGTAATAATGTGCAGATAATTTTCACCATTATGACATATTTATGTACATATATGCCATTAAATCTAGAATATTTCAAATGATTTTCATTATATTTAGATACACATACTAACATGCTAAATAACTCAGGTCACAAGTACACAAATATATATATATATATATATATGACATTAATTGGTTGGGGATAACAAGTGTCAATAATGACATTACGTTTTGCCTTCCGAGTTTTTTAATAAAAAAGCCAAAGGTATTAAAAATATATTAGTTGAACCTTATGATCATGTTAGCATAAATTTTTTTTTTTTTTTGTAGTTATGTAGTTCTTACTTATTGTAACCCTTTTTTATCAATTGATGTAATGCAATAACTACTATTGGGTTGTTAATGGGATCTACCGAGACCTACTAATCCAATTGTCCACATAGATTATATTGGAAAAAAGTTGATTTAAAAAAAAAAGTAGGTCAGAATTGTTGCAATCTAATGGCCATCAAATTCAAACAGTAAGCAAAATCTACTTTCCTTTTAACATTTCGACATTAATTTTTGTATGATGTTAGAATTTAATAAGGGCCCACGGTTGATGATTAAGAATAGAGTTGCTATACACACATTTTAGAGAAAAAGCTGTTTCTAAATCAAAGTTATGCCATAACATGCGATCAATTCTATGTAATTATGTGAATATAGATTCTTTTCATTACACTTTCGCTTAATATTTTTTTTTTCTTTTTTGGTTTAATAGTCAGGAAGTGTTCGGACCAGCTTACACACATCTTAACTATTCTCCTTCCCGGTCCGATCAAATGCAAACTATCCACACCGAAATTAGGGTATTCATGAGAGATAAATTCCTTATGACCTGACCTTAAGGGATTGTCAAAATTCGAACTCAAAATGTCTAGATTTACAGTTTGTCCTTGTTACTAATATATTAAGTAAGAACTATATAAATATGGATGAGTGGCCGGAGAGGATCTACTGTATATGAATGAAAGATTCACATATAAATAATAATTTTACTTAAATATATGGTGAGTGATTTATCATGCTAATGAAATTGTGTCAAAAAAGTAATGGGGATGATCAATTCTAATTATGTGGCTGCTATATTCAAGATGCAATTCAATTCTCTCATCAAAGAAATGAAAATTTAATGCTTGGATTGTCCCAAATCATGCTCAATATGTGCAGAGTTTAATTCTGGTGGTAGAAAAACTTCCACCTTTGAACTCGCAGACTTTTGGCTCCAGTTCATTTCGATGTTTGCTAAGTTTAATTGGTCTTCTGGTCCATCTGTGCTGATTGCTGTGTTGCTGAGTTTGTATTGTATTGCTGTCTATGGTTTGTCTCTTTTTGAATGAGATTCCTATGTTTTTTCACCCAAATAAGCCACATATGTACACATATATTACCAACACAATACACACACACAAAAAGGGTACACCATGCACCTGATATGTTTTGTTATTAGGTTTTTAATACCCTATATCAATAATGATATATTATCACCGTTATAGTGAACATTTATTCCTCATAGCCACACTCACCAAACAAAGTAGTGCATACTCGATGCACGATACTCCCATCGTTGCAAAGTCTAAAGAAGATCAAAAGTATGCAATTTACCTCTACAAGTAAAGAGGTCATTTTTGCGACTCGAATCCGTGACCTCTAGATCAAATACTCCAAGACACAAAATCGGACAAAAGGAGAGTTGGGGGGGGGGGG